CCCAACATGCTAAAACAAAGGTGGTCATAGACATAACAAACACTTTGTTCAATCTCTACAGCTATGACGCTGGAAACATCTAATCCAAGTGGGAGACGTCAGTTCTTATGTCAGGGCCTTTGTCATCTAAGCACTTGCATGTAATAAACTGGTTATACAAATGAAGCATTTAAAAGGGTCACATATCATTTTCCCATTACAAGATAGAGTTCCCAATTATTTTTGCAATGTGAATTTGCAGTTCTGTTTTAAAATAAACAAATACAAATTTTAATGCTGTTTTTTAATCCGATTAATCGAAGAAATAATTGACCGATTAAATCGATTATCAAAATAATCGTTAGTTGCAGCCCTACTCTCATGTGCACGCTCCCCGGCGGTGTACTAATAGGTTTCCTGGAAAAACAGAAACATGTTTGTCCTCCCAGTGTCTCCAAGGTGTCTTTTAGACAACCCGCACACCCTTCTGCTCCTCTGATGCCCTGAGAAGTCTACCTTAGGGTGCTGTTTGAACAAACCGGCTGCTGGGAATGCAAAGACATACATTCCTATCTGTTTTGATGCATATTTTAAATCCGGAATTGCTGATGTGTATTCAAGTGGCGGATGCTAGAAGGCATTGTTCCGGATAAAATAATGCATCTGCATAAAGGTGACATTCCTCTGGATCAAAGTAATGCATTCCTGTTGTTGTGTACAGATAGAGGTCGCAGAGGGGAAAATACAAGGTCTTTTCTGGGTTTCTCCAGAAGTTTGTATTCCTCTGGAAATCCTCGTGACTTGCACTCACATTGCTCAGCTCACTGGACTTAAATGATTAACTTTTCAGACATGTTTTTTTTTTTAACTTTTAAATCCAAGGAATAAAATAGTCTTTTGTTTCTTAACCGGTCTTCTGAATCCACAGCAGCTTCTCTGATCTACAGAGCCGCTGTGGTGTCTGCTTGTTGAAGACGCCATCACCTTATTCGCGGCCTGTAGGCAGGATTATTGCAGTGACACTAGTGCAACTTCCCTGTTCATCAGAAATGTTGTGATGGATACTTCCAGTAGCACTGATTGTTGGGGACAAACCAAGACCAACACCAGCAGCATCTGCTCGTATTTTTGTAGAGAAAATCATGTTGATAATTACGCAAGGTTTCCACATCATCATTGAAGCTTCATATCTGGACTTGTGTAATAAAACACAACCACAAGCGTCCCTCAGTCAGGAACATGGACTTGTGTAACGAAAGCCAAATGCAAATCTTGTTTTCTTGGGAGGGGGGGGTTCCTCTCTTTCAAACACATGCCTGGTCCACCAGTTCCATTGCATGAGACAAGAACACCATACCAGCAGGGCTGTACTGTAATTAGTAAAGGAAGAGCCATATGGATTTACAGGAAGATCCACTCGATCTGTATTGATTTCCACTTCAGACAGCAGGCCAGCTGTGATCAGCACAGCGCTCACCATCCCCCTCGAGAGGCCGCGCTGTGCTCTTTTCATGGGCCGTGTTTCTTCCTGTTTGTGTGCGTGATGATGGTCATGATGGTTAAAGCCCACCTGCCACACACAAACACGCACACGTGTGTGCTGAGAGAAAGAGAGGCGACCATCAAGACTCTCACGGCAGCAGGACGGGGAGAAATAGATGGTCGGTGGTGTTAAAAGCTTGTTAGCGTGGTAAAGGAAATGACTTGACAATGGACTCCGTCTCTCCGGTGTCGTCTGCGGTTCGGAGACACAGCGGGAAGTGAGAGGAGAAAACATTGTGCGTTACTCAGCTGAGTAAACCACAACGGGAGCTTTATAGAAGCCGCTTTATAGCAAGACGTCTGCTTTACCCCTCGTTCTCATGTCTCGATGAATACAACAAAAAAAAATGGCCGACCGTGGCGCATGGAGTAGAGATGGTGCTCCGGGAACCGCGGGGGGTTGGCGGTGGGAAGCCCGGCTGCTCCATGTCCCATGTCCAAGTGTCCCGGAGCAAGACGCCTAACCGCTCCCCGGGCGGCTCCACACTGCTCCCGCTGTGTGAGAGAAAATCCATCACGGTTTTTAGTGTCTCTAAAATCAGGCTTTTGGAAGAATGACAGAATTGTTACTCCGTCAAACCTTCACAGAAAAGGGATTATTGGGCTGGAGACACAAGGGCGACCGTAAAGCTGCATTGTCTTGTTATATAAAGTTCACGTCTGAATGGAGTTATTCTGCTTCCGTCTTCTCCAAAGAACAAGCACTCAAATTCCAAATGTGCAATTCCCTTCTGCTCAATAACCCCCCCCCATGTTGTTTAAATCAGGTGGGGTTGTCTGCTCGGGGTCAATGTAGAAGAGTGCGAGTGTCCTCGGCTCCTCTGGCCACATTGCGAGTCCACATTTGACCCGTCCAGGTGTGAGCCACTAAACATATTATTCATACCCGAGTGGAGGTGATGACGGCGCACGTTTCCATCTGCTCACTGCTCCATTCAATTAATCACGTGTGAACCTTTTGCAGGAAGCTGCAGCCCCCCCCCTCACCCCCCCACCCACCACGTACTCTCCACTACTTTGATTTAGTGCGAGGACGAGTAGACCCGCTCACCTTTTGCGCAGGGTTCAGTCAAGTGCTTCTGGGTGAGCGTGCTGGCGGCTCGCTTCATCAAACATCTGAAGCCCTTTTGTCATCGCTGGCTCCGAAATGAAAAAAGCTAAGCTAAGCTAAAAGGCAAACAGATTCCCTGTGCTTTCTCCTTCCTGCCTCTTTAAGTATACGAAAAGCATTCGGGGGGGGGGCAGATAATCTTGCAGGGTTTGCAGAGCAAATGAGATTTTCTCCATAAAAAAAAAGAATTATTTCATTGATGGTTTCCTGCGTTTCAAAGGGGGGCTGATGAGCAGCTTGGAATTGCACGGAGGAGGTGCGCTGGTCTAATTGAATGCGTTTACATCCTCACGCTGGGTTTTGCAAATCGGGCTTATGTCCCTTTTACGCTCTTGGTTGTTTTGAGCAGTTTGCCTCCTTTCATCCCACTCGTACATGGGTGGCGCCGCATAAACACAAGATTCCTGGTTCCACTGTGTGATTTAGTGCAGAGGATGAAAGCCCACACCACATGGGGGATGTCAGTAAACACTGGGTCTCCACACGTTTCCTGTCAAAGCAAGTGCTGAATGCAAGCTGGATGTCTTTCATCCATTTTCTGCCATAACATTTCCTTTCCCTGAATTGGATGTGCTCAAAAGGTGACGTAGTACGCGTAGAGTGTTCAGGGGTGAGACTCCAGCTGGATTCAGCTCTGCATCATTACAAAGTGGAGCCGGAAGTTTAGCTCCCTAATCGAGATGCAAAACCCGAATCGTTGAGCCGTAAGCAGGGCCGGTACCTGCTCATACCGACGACTCAAAGTACACCTCCGGCCCGCCGCGTTCACTGCTGCTGTTGCATCGCTGTATTTATGCTGTTGACAAAGTTCAGTGGAGGATGTTAGAACATGCTGGAGTCCCTCAGTAAAAGAAAGTGCAGGAGCTAAAGCTTTTTATTATTATAAGACAGTGTGATAATGGAAGCCACTCAGACAGTGAGGAGGTTAATTTGCGGGCCGCTCTGAGCGATCAGAAGACTAGAAAAACGCTATACAAGTACAGTCCATTTACCATCCCCATTTATCAGGTGTGACAAAAGCAGAAGAAGGTGATGGAGAGAATTAATTAATGAAAAGGTGTGAAGAGAGTCCTCTGAAATCCATTTTATCTGTCCATCTATTCATCCGACCACGCAAATCTATCTATCGATTTATCATCTATCCATCTATTCGTCCATCTGGGTGTCGAGAAGAATATGTGTGTGTCCTGTGTTTACCATCACAACGCAGCCAGAGTAACCCGAGGTTCTCGGTTTGCGTCATTCCCAGTTCTTCATTTGTCACGTGCACGGTTATTACATCATTACGTCATAACAGTGGGTATAAATGTTCTCAGGCTACTTTCGATGGCACATCTCCAGGTCTAAGCGAAATAATTTTGTTAATTGTATTTTAAAACACAAAACTACACCCATTTGATCGCCTTGCAGCTGAATTCCACTGGGTGCAACATGTTGAACCAGCGAGTTCATGAACTGAATTTCATATTCAGAAGCTTATTCAGTTTCCTCATCCTCCCTCCCACAGCAGGTGGGCTTGACTGGACCTGGCTGGCGCCAGCTGTCAAACCCTTCGAAAGCAACGCGGCGACGTTTCCTGGTGTAATTGCAGACTTTGTGTCTCTGGCGTGATGCACGTGTCCGCTCTCGCCGCTCGCCGCCATGAGGCTCTGAAGGCATTTGGAGGAAGGTGGCGTGCCACCCACGGGAGCATTAATCACGTTACTGCCAACAGGGGGGGGGAAGGGCTGCTCTTCAAACTAATCACAAGCTATTCGGCTGCGGAAGGAGAGGAGGCACCTCGCGGTCCTTCAGCAGGCAAAGGGGGAGGAAGGGAAAGTGGTGTTTAACATCCGCGCGACTCATTTAAAAGACATGTGCACATTAAATTCAAACTATTCTCTACTATTCTCTACGTTTCCCTTCCAAGCATGCCTGGTGCATCATACTTATGCTCATTATACATCGTTATGTCCCTCTTTGTTTTCCACCGTGCATGTGAAGCGGCTCCTTGCTGCTCATGCAGCACAGGACCCTGAGACGCTGATGAAAAGCAAACGTTACCGTGGCTTCGTTAAGTGGATTTGTGTCCACCTCCGCAGGAACAGATTGGAGTGACTGCCAGAATAAGTTATTTGTAATAACGATGAGAAGACGCACCACAGTTCATGTTCTCCGGTGCTGCTGAAATGATTCTTTTAGATTGGGTTTATTAAGCGGACAGCATACCTCGCACCTCACTGTCGCTATTACTTTTGTTGGGGGAGCTTCATTCGTCATTTAATTGCTGCACATCACGTCGGTTTCACGGCATCTGCCAGCACAACAGCGGCGGGTCTGGAGAAAAGCTGAAAATAGTATTTCTTAAAATGAACCTCTCTGTCCACAGAGACCCCTCGGAAGGACGGGGAAGAAGCTGCGTCCTCGTCAGACTCCTCCTCCTCACTCTTCGACCACTGGGGTCACGACCTGGGCCCGGAGAGTCGAAGGGTCGCCCTCAGGAAGTTCCGTTACTACGGTTACAATGGCTACCTTAGCGACCGCATCTCCCTCACCCGGCCGATTGCGGACCTACGACCGGACGGGTCAGTCAGTCAATGTGTACTTAACTGATCCGTATCCGTATGGATTCCAGCTGAAATGCTCTCTCTGTGTCCCCCCCCCAGGTGCAGGAACATGTCCTATTCATCAGATCTTCCTCAGCTCAGTGTCATCTTCATCTTTGTTAATGAGGCCTTGTCAGTGTTGCTGCGCTCCGTCCACACAGCCATCCAGAGGACTCCATCGCATCTGCTCAAAGAGATCATTCTGGTAGACGACCACAGCAGCAGCCGTGAGAACTATCCAAAATAACTCCTAACTATGTGCATGCTCTTCTGTGGATGCAACCCGCTTTAGGGATGTGCAGTAAGGAGGACAAGTATTTCATACGCTGCAGATTTAAAAAATGTACCGTACATTTTGCATTTTTTTTTGCATGACATAAGTAAACGTAATATTTGGTACAGAAACCTTTGTTTTCAATTACAGACATCATACGTTTCCTGTAGTTCTCACGCTCACAGTCGAGGAGTACGTATGATAAAAACGACTCCTACATGCTTCGTAAGTGGGAAAACCTGCAAAATGGGCAGCGTATCAAATACTTGTTCTCCCCACTGTGTGCAGATTAACGGCCATCGCTGCCATCTGTCCTCGCGCCTTCAAATCAGCGTGTTCGCTGCACTATTTAACACGTCATCTCAATGCTCTGAGCATGTCACACAACACGCCTTGGTAATATGTTGTTTGCAGATTTCACCCGAGTAGCATGAAGGATTCTGCCCACTGCTCGTTCATTGCGCCTTCATTTAATGCCATCACCGTATAGTTTAAATATACACCTCCCTTATAGATTTACAGATTACACCTTGTTAACAGATTTTGACTCAAAGTTCATCAACTCATCAAACTCAAAACACTATTAAACTCATCAATAAACTTAGAGTCAAACTGACGTCCAGACTTTTAAAACAGAACCATTCATCTCACTCACTTGTTCAAATAAAGAGTCAATTCACAAAAATTAATTAGGGGTCTTTTCGTGAATAATAGATAAAGATTTATAATATATTACTGTAAATACTCAACCATGTGGGTGAAACAACATACCCTCTATATTTCATGTCCCACTTATTCAATATTCTTCATGGTGGAGATCCGGACATATTCTACTATTAGCTGCATCAGTAAGATATGACAACAGATTCAACTTATTGCAGCAGACCGCTGTTGATAATTGCATCGCGTAACGTGGAATATATTTAAATACCGCCAATTCTATTATTACTCTCATGAGAAATGTGTCTCTGCTACAGTTGCCTGCAGATGTTCTGTTCTTCCATTAAACGTATATATCGGTTTAGTTCTGCTGGCTGCGCGGTGAACACTCATTAGTGGGAGGACCGGGGGGATTACTCCATTCAACGTGCACCTCAAGTTTTTCCTCAGAATTCATTACAATGGTCATAACTCTCTCGGAAATATGGTTTTCTGTGAACAACAATTGAATGGTAGAGATGAAGGTAATTGATTTATGGCGTAATTATGACAAATCTGTGTCAACTGAGGTGTGATGAAGGCAAAATCCATCCATTTTCCTCCACTTATCCGGGGTTGGGTCACGGTGGCTGCAGGCACAGCAGCTTGACCCAGACGCTCTTTTATTTGCACAATTTAATATGAAACAAACGTAGCAAAGATAAAATCAGTTGTAGGTTCTGGAAGAGGCCAAAAAGCAGCTGACTGGGCTTATTTGAAGGCTTCAGCTAAAATAAGATTTAAATATAAGATATTGCAAAGAACATGAAATAAGTATACACAAGCTATGATTACCTGAACTATTTTTTACAAGATATGATACATGATAACAATAGCAATACAATAGCTATACAAAATATAGTAAAAATGTAGTAGCGTCAATGTTTGCGTCTAGCACTTTTATGAAGGATCATTCTTCTCCACCTGTAAGTGTTTGTGGAGGATGGACAGATGGATATGAGGGAATCTCTGAATTACTTTTGGAGCAGCCTCTGAAGTCATAGGAAGATCCGCTCACCACATTTGAGAAGTATTGATGTTCGTCATGTCAATGGTGTCAATAGTGTGGATCTGCAATTTCTCGAATAAATGAGCAAAGAAATATAGGGATTCATTAAGCTGTGATAAAGAATAAGGAGACAGTTTGTAGACGTAGAGTTCTAAACCTTCTCATTATTCCAGTGGATGTGGGACTTTTTCTACTAGCACAATATGTTTAATCCCTTTTAAGCTGTCATCAACTATAATTCCCAGGATTTTTGTAGACATGTGAGGCATCTCAATGAATTTAATTTGAATTTTGCATACAACCTCAGTATAATTTTGTACTTAAATCTTTTAATCTTTTAATCATATTAATATTGATTAAATTACATTTTATATTCAAAGACAGTTTATTTAATCTGAACCATGTAGCATACGTAATTAAACCACAATTAGTTTCCATAATGAGGGAATTTCCGCTTTGAACAAAGGAGAAACTTTTTAATTTTTAAACCTTCTGGCACAACTCTTGTTTTCATAGACAAGGTGAATATGTGAGATTTCTGCAATATTGACTGTTTCAGCTGTTGGACAAGAAATGCCCCCCCCCCATCCCTTTGGTTGGAGACATAAAACTCAAGATTAGATTCTGTATGCTGTGTACCAAGCTGTACTATGGTAGTCTATAGATCCCTCACATCCCACATACATCCCCATTAGCTGTTTCCATAGCAACACAATGGACCAGTTTTTAGCTATTTTTATACACCCGTATATATATCGAGTATTACACTTCTAGAACCCTCCATCTTAAAAACAAAGGCCTGTGCAAAGAAGAAGTCTAAATGTAAAAAAAACAGTTCCTGGACACATTGGGGATTGAAAAACAAACACAGAGAAATGCTCACACTGAATTCCGTTCAATTCATTTACGATTCAAAAATCACAGATTGGCCTCGGCAGGCAAGTGTACACACATGACATCCTCTGCGCCTGAGAACTATCACCTCAGAACAGCAGTAACGCTGATTGCTTTTCTTTGGTCCTGTGGAGGAGTTTTTGTCTATAGGATCAATACTGCGAAAGGCTTCAGGGACTTTTCTTTAAGTGTATTTGTGTTTCACTCTTTGTACAGTGGAGCTGAAAGAGAACCTGCAGAGATTTGTGGAGGAGACCAACATTCAGTACGGCCTGGGATTCGTCAAGGTGGTTCGCCATGACAAGCAGGAGGGGCTGATCAGATCCAGAGTCAGCGGATGGAGGGCAGCCTCGGCTCCCGTCGTCGCTCTGTTCGATGCTCATGTGGAGTTCAACACTGGATGGTGAGTGCTGATGGGTCCGTACTAGTTAGACACCTCCTGGTGCCAGATAGACGTAACTTGAAAGAGATGCCGTATGGTTACCTTTTTATTAGTTTGGAATAAGTTGTATTACAAACATTATAACAGAGACTGAGCAGCACAAAACTATCTCCAGCTGGTTCATGAAGTCATCATTTCAATTTTCTTGAACATTTGTTATTCAACCAGGTGCACAGGCTCCGCTCCAATGAGCCATTTTGGTAATTATGACAGACTTATTTATATTGATTAGTCCTTTATCTTTGCCAGCCAATAATAGATTACTCTTCAATGGTGGGGAAATCAAATGTATTTCTATAGCGCCTGACACAACAGAGTAGACAACAAAAACATGTATATACAGAGTTCTAATCAATCAGTAGCATAAGGAAACAACTAATAAACAACCACTTTGTAATGTACAATCGAAATGAAAAGAGAACGTTGAGCTTTATTGGTCTCGGTAGAGATTTTACTTGGAGTAAACAATCTAAGATCATAAAACTTCCCTGACCATGAAATAGGATCCAGCAGCAATAATAGTTTAGCGTAATCACTGGCGATCCTAAAATCCTCTGCAGCCAACGCGTGTCTAGTGTTGGTAGTGGAACGCTGATTTACAACACCTGTCCACAGGAAGGAAGGAAGCTTTTTAAAGGAAGAAATACAAATAGAAAACAGAACAAGAAGATACATCCATGACTAGTGGATGCATGACACAAGTAGGACGCAGAATAATGATGGGAAATCAAAACTAATAAAGTAATAACAGCAGCACTGGATGGGGTAGAATAGTAATGATGATAAAATCAAGCCATGGCCGGGTTAGGGTAATAGGGTAATAGGGTTAGGGTATTAGGGTAATAGGGTTAGGGTATTAGGGTAATAAGGTTACGGTATTATGGTTAGGGTAATACGGTTAGGGTTATAGGGTGAGGGTATTAGGGTTAGGGTAATAGGGTATTGGGGTAATAGGGTATTGGGGTAATAGGGTTAGGGTAATAGGGTATTGGGGTAATAGGGTTAGGGTAATAGGGTATTAGGGTAATAGGGTTAGGGTATTAGGGTAATACGGTATTGGGGTAATAGGGTTAGGGTATTAGGGTAATAGGGTATTGGGGTAATAGGGTATTGGGGTAATAGGGTTAGGGTATTAGGATAATAGGGTATTGGGGTAATAGGGTATTGGGGTAATAGGGTTAGGGTATTAGGATAATAGGGTATTGGGGTAATAGGGTATTGGGGTCATAGTAGTACAAATGTGACCAATGATGGTTGCAGTGTGTTCATTCCGACTGAGGAGCTCGATAACTGAACGCCCTGGCCTCCATCCTACTTTTTAAGACTCTAGGAACAAGTTACTCTGCATCTATGGACCAGCAAGGTGAGCCTGGTGCCTCCACAGATGCTGCTCTGTGTGTGAGGGGAAGGATTTTGAGAAGGAGCAAATGGTATATGTCTCTCTTCAGTCTTCAGGCTACTCAAAGCTTTAATCCTTCACCCATTCATTGGTGCGCCGTCACCACTGCGACAGCAGTGCACCAGTTCCCCCCTCGGCTGTGGGAGGGTGGTGTTCATGGGCCTCCGCCGAGGCCACCTGAGAAGTGGAGGTGGCAGTAGCGTCGTTAGGAGCCCGTTTGGCTTCCCTTAGCGGGGCACCGTGCTAATGAGAACATTACGGTGTAACGGGCCATTAAGCTGGTTTGTGCTGTTGGAAGCTGCTTTGCCTTGGAAACCTCAGCTGTACAGAAAATTAGTTTGGGACAAAAACATTAAGGATAAAGATGTTTGTCATTTAGAGTCATTAGTCCATTCAGCAGCAACAACGTAAAATACCTAACTGATGTAAAACAAACAAGACATTAAATGAATCAATTATAAAAGATACACAGGCACCAATGGCTTTAAAGTGACAAGAGTGCTTTGTTAGTCTTGCTGGTCGTTTTGGTGTCCGGAGGGGGCCGGGTGGGGAGCTGGTGGAAACTTCTCTGGGGAAGAGCTGTTCATCAGGTCCCGTACCTTGTTTCTGAAGGCAGGGAGCCTCCAAATGACGCTGAGGTGTTTGTTTTTCTGATGAATGTACTAGTTTGCTAAATACTTTTACCTTTCATAATGACAGTGGACGGTACAATCTGCTGACACATCAAACTGTGACCCATGTAGCTGAATACTTTATTACAGTGAGGGCAGGATGTAAACTAAATCTGTGTGCGTGAGAAACACTCTGAGATCCGTACAGACCAGCGGCCGTTGTTGTATTTTTCTATGTTCAACAACAAAACTCAAACTTTCAGGTTCACATTTGTTTTTCAAATGATCATAACTTCTCACCCGGATTTGTCTCTATAGTACGTAAAATGGGTTTGACTCCCTGGTGTAGATTCAGCTTCACCATCGGCTCTCTTGCATGACATTAGCTTTAGTGATGGATCATAGTAAAACAAAAAAACATTTTCTCTGGATTTCCAGCAGATTATGTGAATTTCCACTCAGAGAACAAACATGGTGTAATGTTTAAAAAGTACTGGAACCCGAGAGCTGGACACCAAATACAGAATACAGGAGTAGTGAGTCTACTGGTAGTCAGCCAGGAGATCAGTCACTCAGGCAAACAAATCCAAGAAGGGTTCGGTAGAAAAGTCACAGTGAAAACAGACATTAGACGATGCGTCAGAGCTTGGCAGCAACACACAAGACAACCCGGCAGGAAACAGGTGCTAGTGAGGGGACCTGACTAGTGAGTGGAACTGACCAGTGAGTAGACCTAACCAACCAGTGAGTGGTCCTGACCAGTGAGTGGAACTGACCAGTGAGTAGACCTAACCAACCAGTGAGTGGTCCTGACCAGTGAGTGGACCTGACTAGTGAGGGACTGCCGAGGGAATGGCTGCAGGGGGGACGGACGTGAATTCCAGGTGAGTGCTGAGAAGCGTTGGACAGTAAACTAGGATGAAGTGGACACACACTGTTCTGGTGCGCTCTGTAACAGTGAGCAACGGACTTTCAAACTGATAATTATTTATAAAACGCTCAATAAAGGCGTTAATAAGTTAACGCGATAACGCCATTTCGTGCCCAGTACTCGTGTTTATATACTTAATTTAGTTCTGCCTTTGTTTCACGGTGGAACTTTTCATAGTTTTGCTCCTGCATTTCCATGTATTTTATATCCTTCACAACTTTTATTAACAATATTAACACATATATATATGTATATTAAGTGGACTCTTCATCGCCTCTTTAAAGCCCACTGACAGCTCTGTGTACTTGTGAATCGATTCAACAGCAGGAAACCTAATAGCGATTCACAGGCTGTAGTGTTTGGTTTCTGTGCTGTAGTGTTTTCTCGCCCGTCAACACGTACACACAAATACATAACACATCATAGAACCCCCACAAACCGCCCACATTGGGCCACAGAGGGCTTTTGGTATAAGACCAATGAATTCATTATTCTCAGGAATACAAAAGAGCTCAGCTGCATGAACACTGTTCTGTCCTACATCTCGTTAGAAACGTACCCATTTCTTACACGTATTATTTGTGTTCAAATTTATTGTGTCCTGTTTATTGATTATTTCCTTTTTGAAGTGTTGTGTCATGTTATTTGATGCCCACGATACAAACAGGATACGTGGTGATGGTATAATGGGAATTCATTCTTATTCTTTTGTTCTTACAGACACAAACATTTCTCAAAAGCAGTAAATGCTCCACAAACATGTTCACACAAATCTTTCCCTTATCGCATGAATATCACTCTTTAGAAAGGATAACTAATGATTAGTTATTAGTACTGCCATTATCATTATTTGAGTTAACTTAAGTGATACAGTGCATGTATTTATATCTGTACTCTAATAATGTTAATAATAAAATAATAAGATCACACACAGTCCCATCTCACATCTGTCCACTTGAACCTGATCATTCAACCTCTGTACAGAGGGACTGATTGATGCTCTTTCCATCCCTCTCTCATGTACTTCGATGGCATTGTCCTTCCCATATTACTTAAGGAGGCCATTCAAGTAGTTTGACCTTCTCCGCTCGAACGTCTACCGCTGTCTTTCCCCTCGAGCATGACGATGATGAAACCTTAGCCGAGTGCATCCGCATGCCGCTGGAAGCCGCCCTCCCACCGCACTGTAGGCCCGTGTTGTGGTGTCACGTAGGCAGTGAGATGGACGCTGATCTGGCGTTTCCCCCTTTAAAGAACATTAGACCGTGCAATGTCTCCTGGGAGTACTATTAAACTCATTCTAGACTAATGGATGAGCACGTCAGGAGGAATTCGATCTTTGGCAGTTGATGGGGAAACGTAGTGTTTGCAACACAGGTTGTGCCGGGATACTAACTCGCCCACTGCGTTGGAGGTGGTAGACGATGGTTTAACATGCACATTTCAGGACATTTCTTACTTCTGATAATAATGTGAGGAGGTGGCTGCTTCTGGGCCTTCTGCACCCAGACTTTTATGTGTGGAACAAGCTGCAGGTGCTCATAGGAGCTTCATGCTACAAGCGGAGAGGAAACTAATGTGGCAGTTTTTTTCTTCCATTGCCCAGCTGGAATGAGACATCATTCTCTATATCCTGCCACTGATGCCTCTCTTGTGGGCCATCTGGATGGCGACATTGGACCAGGTGGGAGACGGTTGCTGGCTCTTAACTCGATGGGCCGCAGCGACCGAAGGAAGATTTGTGGGCACAGGAGGCGGAGCCAGAAGTCGCGCTGTTATCAAAGAATAAAACAGTGTATTTTCTCATTTCCTTTAATAAGGTTTTCCCAAACATTCCAAAAGGAATGTATATATATACTTAAATCTATGGATACATATTTTGTGTCAAACTTTGAGACGTTCAGCTGTACAAATGGTTTAACTTTCATCTGTTATTTCCGTTTTCATTTGGACAGTTTCTCAAGTTACGTTGAATCTGATGTTGAATTATCATAGCGTGCTCTCCAACATTCTGTCTGTGCTGTGTCATCCCAAAGGGCAGAACCGATACTGCAGCGAATAAAGGAGAACCGGACCCGGGTGGTGTCTCCATCCTTTGACAACATCAAGTACGACACCTTTGAGATTGAGGAGTATCCGCTGTCTGCTCAGGGCTTCGACTGGGAGCTGTGGTGTCGATACCTCAACCCGCCAAGGTCTTGGTGGAGCCAACACAACCACACCGCCCCTATCAGGTAATGCAGGAACTACTTTGTTCCAACTCCCACAGGGTGCACCCTCTATTGGTGAATAATAGTCTCCTCCTTTGAGACTCCATTTGCATTAATAAAATTGTCCATGAGCACACAGTAAGAAAGGCAGCACACATGGCTGATGTTACTCCCCATTTTGATGGTCCAGCATCTTCCCAGCCTAAGACCTCTTGCCCACCGTCTCAGACTGATTTAATCAGCAAAATGGAAAATCTGATCCAGGGAGTTGAGACGGCTGTGATGTCTTTGTGATGTCTCTAGCCAATGTGGCCTCTGAAGAAAGGACCTGAATGACCACCTGGGAGCCCCCTGAGCCATGGAGGAGCTCCTACGATTGATTTGATTAATCAATAAGCTCTTTGGACAGATTAATCACAGCTCAGCCGCTACCTGCTGCCCGTTCACAGTAAGCAGGGGGGCACTTTGATGGCATAGAGCCCCCATGCCTACCTATGAGAATGTTGCTGTTTTTTTGGCTTGGCAGCTCTTCACTCATCTCTCTAACACAGTTTCATGGTCATCATACAGCTGCACGTTGGAATGAATGGATGAACAGGACACCTAGACTTCTCTAACGTCCCTTGGCTGTTTTTTGGCATGCGGTTTTCCCAGGAGGAGATAGATCACCTCTCTGTAGATATTTATGCCCTTTTGCAGAAACAGGCTGTATCGGTCTGCCAAAACTGACAGCAGAGAGGATTTGAAAAAAGACAAGACGACGGGAGAGTTTAGACCCACTTTGAATTTCTGTGTCTTGAACTAATGCATTTCCTGCAACGAGTTCCTTTATGCTTCCATCAAGCTGCTACTGGAACTGGCCCAGCAAGGACATTCAGTCCAAACTGATTTATACTCCAAAATACAGAACATTTTTGCATGTCCTCCAGCACCTTGTACTCCTGAGTGTGTGCGTGTGTGTGGGGGGGGGTTGTGGGGGTGTATGATGGTGAGGAAGAGGTGCACAACAATGGCCTATTTCACAGACTGGACCGATTTTGCAACAATTTGGATGTGAGGTTCAGAACTCACATAGTCTCTGAAAGTTGGCAAGATTCCAGTATTGGAGAGCAAGGATGACCACCTCATACTGGGGGGGGGCTGACCCCTACCAGCCCACCAGAGGCGTCACATTTTAGGTGGTGAAGCTGATTTGGCTGTGAGTTTATGGAAGAAGGCTCGGCCTCCTGTCTTGTGTAATTTGGTCGACTGTTGTCAGTTGTCTGTTTAAAAGTGGACGCAGCAGCCGTTTCTTACTGTCATGAAGGTTTTGGTCACAGACCAGTATTTGCCCCCCCCCCTCTCATGAAGAGGTTCACACAGGGGGTCAGGAGGAAAATTCAAAGCCATATAAAAAATTGAGTATTCCGCGCAACCCCAAATCCCGTTGAGTGCGATGTCATAAGTAGCAGTGGGTGGCTGATCACTACTCACCACTAATACAGCACTTTAATGAGAGGTACACTGTGTACAGTCATTGCCCATGCACTCAAATAGACATATTGATAGTTCTTCAATACCATTAGCCAAGAAAACTACCAATATGAACAAAAGCTTTAGGCATTTTACAGTTTTTCGAGGAGAACCAGATGACCTGAAGGGTTTAAACTTTAAACATTAGCTGGTTTGTAGCTCACAACACATTTCCCTTTTCCACTGCAGCAGATGATTGAAATCCTCATTAGGTAATCCTGTGAGCAATGCATTGCAGTAGTCAAGCAGAATGGGAATAAATGTTAAAGCATAAAAAGCTCCGTTCCATTTGTGATTCTGAAAAGTTCTGTCCCTATCCAGAATGACGCCTTTGTTTTCCAGAAACAATTGAAAGGGGATTTGCACACATGCACTTTCTGCTGATAACTTTACGCTCACATATGTTACTAGAAATGACTTAATTAGCAGTTTTGTATAATACCAATATTCTATGCCCATTAGAGACACATAACTAACAATAGACAGTGCAATGTAAATGGATTAAGACTAATTAAACTTAAGGAAGTGTAAATTCATTACATCCCAGAAAATATGTATACATGCTGTTAAGTCTGCTATAACGGTTAAATGACGTCATTAACTGTTAAATAGCAGTTAATAAAAATAAAAAAATTACAATTGTCTAGCTCTTGTCTAACTCTTTTGGATTCAGTTTGATGTTGATGAAGAAGATGGTTCCTCAAAATGTCCCGAATATGTGGTGTTAGCTGAAAGCATCATTTTGACGGCTGAATCATTTCCAAGCACAATGTGCTGCATACGTTACAAAGAAATGCAATGGCTAATTCTCAGAGCACATATATGCACCATACATAAAAGGTACATCTGAAGGGCCCGGTGTGGGGATAACTGTCCTAAGAGTGGGCGCGTGTCTTGAAGAATATTTGTATCTGAACGTAAGTGCGTAATGCTTTGACTTTGTACAAAACATGTTCTACCACTTTTCTCTGACGCTGTCTATTTTCACCCTGTATTTTAGGAGCCCTGCTTTGATTGGCTGCTTTGTGGTCGATAGGAAATACTTTGAGGAGATTGGCCTGCTGGATGAAGGCATGGAAATATACGGTGGAGAAAACGTGGAGCTCGGCATCAGGGTGAGTCGGCCTGAGGACCTGCATCCTCCTGCTCCCACGACCCAACTACCACACGCCCGCACTAGACAGCGCCGTTCAGGGTCATTCGTGTAGCGGCATAAACCATCCAGCCACACTCCCAACGGTCAAGCAAACATGTACAGCATATCAAAAAGAAGAATGACCTTTCCTGGACAGAATGTGGGCTTTATCAGTCATTCACGATACTCGTTTCTAATGTTTTTAAAACTGCCAGGTGGCATTGTCATTTAATGTAGGCTTAAAATAAATTTTTCATTCAAAATGTACCTGTTGCACATAAGAGAATTTGTCTAGGTGATTGGTGCGATATAAGAATAAAATAAAAATAAGAAAAATGACATAAATATATAAAAGCAAAAAGGAACAATATAAACAAAAAAAACACTGTGCAAGTGTCTGCGTAGTGTCTATGAGACCAGCTGAAGCTGTTTCTGTGGCCTTGATGGACCTCAGCCTCCTGCCTGATGGAAGGGGCTCAGAGGGTTTGTGGGGTCGGCTACACTCTTTCTTTCCCGCCTGGAGGCAAACGAGTCCTGCAGGGACGGCAGATTGTAGCCGATCAGCCTCTCTGCAGAGCGGATGACCCGCTGCAGCCTGCCCTTGTCCTTGGCTGTGGCTGCAGCGTACCAGACGCTGATGGAGGAGCAGAGGATGGACTCAATGATGGCCGTGCAGAATTTTTTGGTTATTCCATTTTTTTTCTATTTTCTGACAAAAAAGTGTAGTAATAATAAAACTGACATTACTAGTCCTACTGCTATGACACAAACTTCTAATAGTATTCATACTCGTACTAATATTACAACTACTACTACAGATACGAATATGGCTACTACTGCTATTTTTTTAATACGACAGTTATTTCAACTGCTACTACAACCACTACAGCCATTGATACGACTACCACTATTTTCTACTAGAATACTTCTTAGTAGATCTATCAACTACTAAGACCACTTTAACGCTACTGCTACTACTTTTACTGCTGCAACTATAATAAAAAATCAAATTGTTTAGCTTCCATCTTTTCCTGTATTGTAGTATAAGGAAGTTAAGCTTTTTTGACAGTTATACATTAAAACTATGCATTTTCTATTTTACAATGAACCTACTTAGATACTAGAAACACTTATGTGCACAATAAGTACATGCCAATTTTTGCTAGAGTAACAGACTGCATGCAAGAGAGACCTTTGCCGATCGCTTATGTAAATCAGCGGTGGTATTTTGACAGAAAGAGTTCAGCACGTGTGTCTCAAGGGCATTGCTCAAACTATTTCATTTTGAGTTCAAGGTTTAAGTCAGAAAACAGCCACTTGTTCTTTCCCCATCTCCCTCATACCAAACACAGAAGCCTTTTGTTATCAGCAATGTCATTTTCTTCTTTTCTGCAGGAGTGCACGCTCCTATTGTGATAAAGATTGCTTTCATGAAACTTCATTTGCACTGTGGCAATATATTGTGCATGTTTTAAATTCACATTGCCCAATGGAGTCATTCATCATGATTGACGGCCGTCATCTGCATGATTTATATTCAGTGTGGCTGCACACTGTATATAATCCTGCAGGTTTATTGTTGGAATGCTGATTCGGCATTCTTAGAATTGTTATACCTCTTCTACTTCTACTTTCTTCTCTACGTTTATTGGTTCATTTCAGCTACACAAACCGTCAATCTATTCAGCTACGTACATGCTGGCTATGACTTTCTACCTGTTATACTTTTTCATATATTCAACTGTTTTTTAAATTTTCTTTCAAATGATTCTAATGATAGAATTTTTTCTCTAATCTTCTAACTTCAATTTTCAAATTCCCATTTCAGCCAGACACCATTTACACTTTAAAATGTTTACACCTTTTTCAAATGATTCAGCATTTTGTACGTATCTTTAACTTTTTTGAATGTATCTTCAACTTTTTGAATATCACTGATTATGTTTCATTAGGTTTTTCAGACCAATTCTGAGATGTGCATTGGGTGTGTATGTGGCAGGCTCGAGTGGGGACTTTGGAGTGGAATTTGGTTCAATAAATATTTTGTCAACTTTTACACATATTTTGGATAAACGTGAAGTTTTCAGGTGGAAGTCACTACACTCTCTCCTTTGGATGTACGCCTTTACAATCTCTACTTAATGCTTCACACTCTTCTCTTTGGCCTCACTGCCCTTTTTTTCCTCATCTTATTGACTCCCCATGCAGACCCACACGTATACGCGTCACAGATTGTTATGCAGCTCATTCTATAACCACGGGTTCTAAATCCTTTCTTGAGAATGTCGAGGTGTTTCTGAGGGAAGCGTGTATTATCTGTATTTGGCAGTAGCTGGCGCCTGGGCACCGGGCCAGGTGTACAGCTTTACTGGTGTTCTGTGGTAGCTCTTTGGTTTGAAAGGATGAAGGTAAGCAGGGATTATACAAAACAATGAAGTGCAGGACTAGAAAACGGAGAACAGGCACTTGTGTTCAGCATTGCAGCTCCTGCCATGTCAGCACCCTGAGATCCAAAAGGTGCCCGCTGCAGATTTCTGAGCAGCTCTATCAAGGAAATGAGCAAGGTTTACGTGTTGCCATGTTAAAGCATCAGTTGACATAACTCTTACATTTCAGATTGTTAAAACACCATGGCGATCCGGGCAAATGGAAGCACTGAAAGATGTTGAAGCGGGAATTTCGAGAGAGAGAAAAAGCGGAGCAGCTGAAGTTTATACATGAATTATTAGGTTTGAATGCAATCTGGTCCCTTGAACATTCCCGGCGCTCAGTTACCTGAGCATACTTCTGCTTTCATACCTGTCAAACTGTACACTGGAACACAAATCAACACAGGCCTGCAAGATACAACTGGGCCCTTCTGTGTCAAAACCTTTTGGATATGACACAAAAAGCACAAAATAATGTTGTAAGTGAATTTTGGTAACATATCAGGTTACACCTGAGCTCTATAATGTGTTAATTAAACAAGCTTATTGTGAGTTATGATTTCAGTGTCCGTCTTGATTGCTCAATACAGGTTTATGAATCATCAGTTGATGATTTATGGAAAGCCTATATCCAATTATTGATGATGTTCGACAACATATAAACCCTCACAAATAATAAAAAGGTCCTGGGTCCACATCCCCACTTTGGCATTCAAAAAAGGCAACATAATTGCCAGCTTGGTGGACATACATTTCATATACATTCCATATCCTTGATTACTTTATTTTTAGAAACCCATTCAAACATCAATCAAATTTGGACATTTCTAGTTATTGAGCCCTAAATGGTTTAATGCCTAAGGGGATTTCAGCGGGTGAAAATGTAATGATGTAGCAGCAACTGTTGGCCCTTTTTGTGTATGTGCAACACAGGTGTGGCAGTGCGGCGGCAGCGTGGAGGTGCTGCCCTGCTCCAGGATTGCCCACATTGAGCGCGCCCACAAACCCTACACGGAGAACCTGTCGGCCCACGTGCGGCGTAACGCTCTGAGGGTGGCTGAGGTCTGGATGGACCAGTACAAGAGCCACGTCTACATGGCCTGGAATGTTCCGCTGCAGGTACACGGACAGCACACCGCCACGTTTAGTGGCGTGGCTGTAATTGGGCGCATTGTGCGTCGCGGTCAGGTGCACAGACACACAGAATGCAACAAAACATCTAAGAGGAGTTCTGCTTTCACATGTGCTCAGGTTACCAGGAAAAGGAAAATGGCTTTAATCAGTTCATGTTTGGAATTTGAACTACTTATCCATTAGAGATTCTAACTAATAAACCACACACCAAGGATGCTTCCAATGCAGATGCTAGAGTGCAGGTATTGTAAACTCAGGTGGGTTTGTACTTATTTCCCTCCCTAGAAGTCAGGAATAGACATTGGGGACATCACTGAGAGAAAGGCCCTGCGATCCAGACTCCAGTGCCGACCGTTCAGCTGGTTCCTTTCCAACATCTACCCTGAACTCCGGTCCTACAGCAACACGGTTGCTTACGGAGTGGTGAGTTTATTTTTTTCCTTAAATCTCAAGATTCCCGTTCTCCGGTCTGCGGCCTTGATCCCAGCCGATTATTTATCATTATGCTGAGAGCTCTTCCTATTCACCGGATGCAGGAGCCCACAGCTGGACAAACAATACCCAATAGATGCTCACTTTCGCTGAGCAGGAGAAGAAATATAGACTAAAATGAATCTTCATCTATTGTGGCAGGTTACGAGCAAATAAAGGGTTGGATCCGGTTTCAGTTTGGCTTGGTTTGTAACACATTGTATTCAGAGGACTCTGGATATAGATTGGCCCAACAAGTTCGAACGAGCAGAACTTGGAATTGAAATAGGAATCTTGAATGATGATATTGCACCAACGCACCAACCGCCAGGACAAATTCCTTGTAAGTTTGACATATTTTGGCAATAAATGTTTCCTGATTCCTGATTGTAGGCGATTAGTACCATTATTGGTCATTGGGGGCTTAAATTCCCGGGAGCTGGTACGAGATATGACCATTCTCGGCCCTGTAGCCGTCACATCTTGTCCAGTTCGAACCCAAACGCAGACTACACAGGGTTGGTGGTGACGAAGTGAGTATTTATTGGATGTATTCCAGACGTGTAGACAGGGGGATACCGGCGATGAGGCGATGTGGTGGGAGGTTCTGGTTGCCAGGCAGGAGTGACGGGAAATCCAGGTGTGGACGTGCCAGAGGCACCGGTGATCCTGGACCTCCGGCTTTGTACTCGTCGCCCAGCAACCCGAACAAGTTACGTTCAGAAGCACAAAACAGACTCAAAGAGCTGGGATCGTGGCAATAACCAGGAACTGTGCACAAATACATTTGTAGAGATACAACTCCTATGACCTTTTGGAAAAGCCACAGACTAAACACTGAAAAATCCCTAAAATAATCCCCTTCCCTATTCAATTTGAGAAACTGCGAGGAATTCAATGAGCTTATTTGTTATTTGAAGAGTTGTATTGTTGGCCCGAACATTTCCTAATAACATATCAAACTGTCAAAATACCACTCGCATAAAATAAAAAATAAAATATTGCAGTATTTCAACCTACAAAACGAAACCTTTCCACTAATACGGCGTCTAATATGTCATATAGGCTTCTACACTTTCAAATTTCAAATCACAGCAGCAGTGTATTGAAAGGCTGAACCTTTTTTTTATCCCTCCTCTGCATGACTAGTCCTCTCGTCAGCGCAGGCTGCGGGAGGACTTTGCGTGATTGAAAAATGGACAGTAACCTGTCGAAAGATGAGCATATTTCATCCAGTCTCATTCGAACCCTATAACCTGAACAGCGATCTAGTCATGGTTACCGGTCTTCTGAGCGCCTGAATGCAGTCTGAAAATATTCATTATTTCTGCTTTAAAATCGACTGAAAGTCTGTTACTGGGGGGAAACGGAAGCAGCGGTTGGATGTGGAAAAGGGGGGAGGGGGATGGAGGGGTGGGGGGTGTCGTACTACTCCGAGATAAGCAGCCTGAAAGGAGCCGACAGCTGTAGTGTCACCTCTGGGGTCTGTTGTTCCATTTCAATCACAGTGCGAGCTGGAGAGAACGACTGTTGACAGCACTGAGCGCGTGCGAGGGCTCGGCTCTGATTGACATGCACGCGTTGCCACTGGGACGTCTGAGAGATGTGCACATGAAGTTTACATATTTGACAAACACAAATTCTCACAGGAGATCGCAGTTGGAGAGCGTTACACAACGTGTGAATGTTTTTATGTGTGTGCTTAGCGGTAATTATCTAATTAATTATCACGTTACTTTTAAACAGTATTCCTATTAAATATCATCCTGTTAATAAAAACAAGACGTTGTTATTTAACATATCTATGAAACGTTTGTAGCATTAATTAACAACTTGCATTTTAATATAACGAAATACTCGCTCCTGCAGCACAATATCTACGCTAATATATAGTGGCACTGCTTTTCTGTTTTGTATAAAAGCTACCCGGGATAAATGGGGGACAGACAGAGATTTATTTAGTAAAGCAAACAGCCATTGGTGCCACTGAAAGCCTTGATGAGACTATTGAGCTGACGGAGATTAAGAGGCATTCTATTCAAATCAGCTCTTTTTAAAGACTTAAGAACGCTGTGCAGGAAGCTAAACTTCACCTCCACACAATCCAAAAGGCAGCCGTGTCGTTCCAGCGCTCTGAATGTGCGCCGCACGCTGCGTCTCGCCCGTGTTCGCCGGGATTGACGCCCAGTGAGGAAAGCAATTGGTTTAATAATGACGCAGATGTGAGGCCTAAAAAGGTTCCCTTCTTCTCTTGCTTTTCCCGTTTGCATTGTGCCATCGTTAGTTACGTGTTCGCTTGTTACCTCCCCTCTGCCGATCACCCATCACCCATCCCATTTTCACCCGTCTTATCTCTCCGGTTTTTCTAGTTGAAGAACAATCTGAGAGACAACCTGTGTTTGGACCAAGGACCCGACACTGACAATGTTCCCATCATGTACCAGTGTCATGGCATGACACCGCAGGTCAGTCGCCTCACTTACTCTTTACTGACTTAGTTGTCTGCAAATGGGGGATTCATAGAAAGCTATTATTAGATAATATCGCGCTATAGTTTCAGAAACTGTCTGCGTAGTGAGAAAGCATAGACGTAGACATTGGGACATATGAACAGGCTGTTAAAACAACTTTCTTTTGTAAAGAGTTATTGTGAATGATAAAACAAAAGGTTTGTTATAGACACGCTGGTGGGGCTGCAGGACAAACATACAGCAAAACGTTCTGATTAAATGCCAACATCCCATAGCTCACATCACATGAGCGCTACTGTCACAACCAACTGTCCTGATTGGACAACAATGTATCACCGACAAGAGATCAAACCACTCCAGCCAATTAATGCCATCTAAAATCACACAGTGATCGCACCAGACCAACATGTAGACCAGCAAAGGACGATGCTGAAGCTCTCTGAGCGTCAAATAGACACTAATAAGTAAGCTAATTAGACCAGGTACCTAAAAGGATGCGCTAACAAACAGCTAATATATCACTATGCTGGAATAATGCGGCTTCGTCATGTGCCTTCTGTACAGTGAAAGGTTTCAGCTCTTGCTGCTGAAATATCTAGAGAGTTGTCATCCAGACATTCGGGCAGATCAACGTCTCCATCCGCCTCCCGAAGGCCATTTACTTCTTCAGGGCCGTAAAAGCAGCCCTAATTGTCCATTTGATGGAGGCACTGAAAAACATCCAAGGGACTGTGACTGCCTATTTCCCCCTCTCTCAGCGCGGAAAGGCCCTGTAGCGTGATTCAATTAAGAACTCACATTTTACTCTCTGCCTGCCATAGAGAAGCTTGCATAATCACAAATAAATGTCCACTACTACCAATCTAGACATCGAAAAGAGCCTTTTAATGGCAGGCCAAGCTTTGCCTCCATTCAGGGCAAAGGGCAACAGATTCCGCCTTTCTTTCTGGGTCATACTATGCAATATAGCATCATCTTAAACAGGCGTTAGCTGCAATAAGAGTTATTTTGAGGTATTAATGACCAAATAATTGATGCGCTGGTTTTTGGGGAGGAATTTCATCTAGCAAGACGTCGTTTAGCCTCTATGCCGTACCGTTTATTCAGAAAACGGGTATTTTGGGGCTTTACGAGGATAATTGAAGATAGCAGCTGAATATCATTGCACAGTGCGGATCTGCCAGGGGAACTAATCACTTAGCAGGAGATTTTATGCTATTCCTTGTTCACCAACTATAGAGGGATTAGAGGATGTTGCTATAACAGATACTGTATCCTCGCCTCTCTTTGCATTGGCCAAATTCATTTTCCCCTCTCTGGGACAAACCGTGCTCCAAGTGACACACGGTAAAACGAACAACAAAATAAATCGGATTTATTGCATTAGTGAATGTCATGTTAAGGAGACATCGAGGACAAGCAGCCTTTAGGATGCAGAGCAACAAGAAGCAGGATCCATTTCACCGCTGACATCAAAGACCAGAATATTCCTCTGGTCTTTTCTTTTCCACTTACATGTTTTAATCATGTGGAGTATCTTGTGTAATGTTATTCCCCACTCTCCCCATATTCCCCATTCTGATCCTTTAATCTTGATTAGTCCAATCCTTATTATCTCTGGGTCTTCTGCCTCCTGAACACAATTACTGCATTTGTGTGTGTGTGTGTCCAACCGGATGGGTGAATATGGCTTTGGATACGTAATTCATTGTTAAAAGGTCAATGACGCATAATGTTCCTCCATTTCCTTTTCAACCACTTGACAGTTGAGGAACAACAAGAGTGAGGGATTTGTGTAGTATTATGTTGTATCATGAAAACAGCTCCGAAACGCACGCCTTGTTCATGGGACGTTCACGACGGTGGCCCATCGAGTAGAGAAGGTGCGCCGGGAACTGCCAGGTTCGAGTCCCGGCTGCTCCATGTCCCATGGCGAAGTGTCCCTGAGCAAGACAACTAACCCCCAATTGCTCCCCGGGGCGAAAATGTAAAAAGCCGTGGGGTCGAAAACGACTTTGGATAAAAGCGTCAGCTAAATGACCTGTAATGTAATAATAGTGATTAAAAGTTGGCACTTGGGACAAACCTGAACCCTCAGAAAAGGGCATTTTTCACTTGTTGCCTTCAAAGTACCCAATGAAATGGAAATAAGCAGACCTAAAACTGGAGTCTACAATCTTTACAACTTGCATTTCTATCTTTCTGAGGCCCTGTTTGAGTATTTTTTGCAGAATGAGGACACCCTCAAACGTTTCCGCTTCTTCAGGAGGCTATTTTAGCTTTTAAAGAAAGTATTTTGCTATTAATGTAGTGAACCAGAGTTCTCTCAAGTAGAAATATAAATATGTTATGTGTACATTGGCATGCCCTTCACGTGTAAGCGGGGGGGGCTTGGTGTCTCACTGAACTTTTAAGTAATTAAAAGCTGTGGAGGTTTAGAAAACTGACAGGATCTTGATCGAAGAACAATTCAAAAAAAGATTCACACTTTGAAATATGTCCTATTTAGAAAAGGAAAAGGCTTTAGAGCAAAAGTGACTTTTCCTACTTCACAGAAAACATGGATAAAACATGGAAAAAGTGTATTAATGACTTAAAATAGAGCTATTTCACCGGGGGTTCAGTTCGACACAAAGGAAACACAAACCAACTTGAAAACCTTGACGAATAGAATGTGTGTGGGCTTGTCAGGGAAACCCCATTACTAATCTTTCTAAAACTTTTGACAAAATGTATCTGTAAAAAAGAGTTTGTCGATCTCTGTTCATCAGTTGGAAGAACAACATTCCGCCACCTTCCGTATTTATGAGCCCGCCGGTTATTTTCACGGCTCATTAAAAGATTGTCATGGCACGGAGTAATCCATTTTCAAAATGACTGACTGACAGTCTGATCAGTGTACGACAGCCTAATTGTCTCTCTCTCTTGGTTGGTGGTTGGGAGCATAGTGAGCTGGGCCTCACTTCTAAAACCTTGCGTAGGATTTGCGGCGGAAGTGGCGTACGGATGAAACGTACGCACGGAGATACCCAGACTTATAAAACGTCCTGCGCAGTTTTCCCTTAATAAATCACAATCACTTCTAAATGCAGCGCAGCTTTTGCGGCTTCGTGCCACGCCCATAGTTCGCCCATATAAGGTCTGTGGAACGCCCACAAATGAATATTCATCGATTGCGAAATCATGACAAACACTGAGAGGAAAACGAAGAAACGTAACTTCACTCAGTGTGAAGTGGAAACGTTCATTGGCGAGGTGGAAAGGAGGAGTAAGATGCTCTTTGGAGGACACAGTGTGGACATCACTGACGCCAAAGAGGCACCACGGCAACGCTGCAGCCTCACAACCTCGGACCGTGGCCCAAATAAAAGAAAAAATGGTCTGACATCAAAGTGGATGCAAAAAAGCGTTTAGCGCGCCATCGCCAAGGTGTGTCTGCCACGGGGGGGGACACCGGAGCTGTCCCCTCTTGATGAGAGACTGGCGGCGATGATTGGGGATCGGGGTTAACCACGGCCCTCGAGTGAACAACATGGCGGACCATGTCGGATTCTTGAGTGAACGTCTCTCCGCCATGTTGGATGTTTTGAGGGGGTTAGGGTTAGTTTTCTATTCTTACAAGTTAACATTGATTTCTCGTTAAAGATGCAATCATAACAGGTTTATTTTACATCGTTAGACTCCACGAAGTGTGTTTACGGGGCGCAGTCCCCGTTCACTTTGACGAACAGGTTTTGGAGATCAGGCTGAGTAAACCTGGGGGAGACACTGCAGTCTACCTAATCAATGCGAGCAACGTGTGTCCGTCCTCTGACTCGTGTCACTGGAAGATGGGTTCTGGTTTTATCTGTTTAGGTTAATTAGATATATTCGTTGTTTTAGTGTTGTGTGATCACGTGATCTGTTGGCACCTTCGTCACATTGTAACGGACTGACAAGTTCTGTCAGCGAGGTTACACATTAAGAGTTTTTAATTTCTTCCCTTACTTTTACTCTTTTAAGTAGTTTTGAAACCAGTACTTTTATACTTTTACTCAAGTAAAAAGCTTGAGTTGATACTTCAACTTCTACAGAAGTCTTACTTTTGACACCTTTGGCTGCACTACAGCGCGAATCCATCTTCTCAGAGCGCAAGATCAGCCGTCAGCGTCATTACGCATTGTGACGGCATCGTGGCGTTTTATCACCGTCCGTCTGATTGCATCTGACAAGCAACAGCTTTGTTTTGAGGACGAATTGCATAACATGCCGATATTATTGCAGAACATATTTCACTTTTCTTTTTGAAGATGTGTTAATTTGTATTGGTTTGTTTTACGCTGCAGATCGATCAAACGGCTGTTCGTGTTATTTATGAGAGGCAGTATTGGCATTTCTTTTACACAACAGTCTAGTTTTACACACGTTTGCGTGTTTCTTGCATTTGCTGACTGTTCTTATTTCACCCGTTTTTGTGCGCACGCATGGGTCCGAGCTTGCGTGAAGGACCGCACATTTTTCCGTCAAGTTTGCTTTTTATAAATACCGATTATTATACCGTTGCGTACGCCTTCTTTTGTGCGTACGCACCGTTTATAAATGAGACCCCCCGGTGAGGTTGGTGATTTTCACAGACTGTCTTTCTACGTTTCCTCATATTTCATAGTGTGAAGGAGCGTTGGCGGTCTCTCTCACTAGGTGCTCGCCAACCGGCTTATAAACTCTCGAGACCATAACGCTGCATGGTGGAAATCGCATTGCGCATTAAAAGGCTCAAGACAGCTCGAAGACTGCGGTACAGTTTCGGCCTGCCATGGACCGGGACTGCTTGTGTGCTGCTGAGGAGGGCAGGGCGTTTAAGGTGTGACAAACACCTACGGTCCATCCGTAAGATGTGATGACACCAGGGGTGGGGCTTTTTGAGGAGTTTGGCAGCAGCTATATCACATCCCAGGTCCTGACGTCCCAGACTGTCTCAACTCAGACAAGAGACCCAAACGCAGACGTGAGGAATATTAAATGTCTTTTAATGAAGAGGAATTCGGGCAGGCAGTGTCGTTGTCGGAGGCAGGCAGGGGTCAGTACACGGGGAATCTCTAGAACCAACTGGGAACTACGAGGATACAACGCTGGTAAGACCTGGTGAAACACACCAGACGAACTGGCTACAAGAACAGGGAGAAGACGCAGGTTATATGCCCAAGGGATAATTGACAAACAGGGAACACCTGGTGTGGGGGGAGACCGGGGGAAAACGGGTGAACACAATTAGGGCGTGACACCAGAGTACGATCTGAGAGGCTGCCTGTGAGAAACTGGGCCATCTAATGAAGACCGCCACGCCTCATACAGCGGCGCAGAGCAACGTCCGGTCCAGCAGGCTGCTGCTGTGGAGTTTTGGAGGTCTGGTGGCCCACACCTCCAAAACTCCTGCCCTGACAGTTGAGAACCCTCCTGGGGGAGGATCCCTCCCGTAGGAGGCCAAGCGGTCCTCTCCCAGGGTAAGAGCAGTCTCTAGTGTTGTCGACTGCGATGTTTGGGCCGGGTATTGTATTTTCAAGTTACAGCAACACGTTCCTGTAGATACATGTTGCACAACATCAGGGGAGTGTGTCCCCTTCTCACACCAGGTTCTGGTCCGGGCTTTGGCGTTCTCATACCTTGACTACTGTAACTCCCTCCTAGCAGTTCTACCTGCCAGTGCCACCCTTCCTCTGCAGCTCATCCAGAATGCAGCAGCTAGGCTGGTCTTTACCTCCTGTACTCTGAGGCTAAGACCTGATAGCCCAGTGTGTGGACAGTAACAATGGAAGGTTTACCTTGATAGAGTGAGGATTACTACTACTGACTATACCTGGACTAGTTAGCATTTTGTTAGCAATTCTGATGGCACCTTCGCATAGTACTCTTTAGTTCTTTTGGCTTTCTTAAAGAAATGATACTTTCGTGATCCTTGTATTTTTGGGTCCATACCCTCTGAATCAAATGCACTTATTGTAAGTCGCTTTGGATAAAAGCATAAGTTAGAAAAATGTACAAAATGTAAATGTGTATTTAATAAGAATTCACTATACAATGAAATGATAGATATGTTGTCTTGGAATTCTAGCTAGTTAAAAAGCAGTTATTTATTGCAGTTGCTTTACCCACTAGTTATTACATTTTAAAAGAGCTTTCCATAAATATTCATACATATGTGGATACGCATACACGGATCAATAGGCCACTGTCGCTTCGTGGAGAGCAGCGTTGTCTTCTGGCAGTTCGATCCCGGGCTCAGCTTGTCAGCATATCAATGTGTCCTTGGGCTCACAACCCAAAATAGCTCCCGTAGTTATATGACTACGGCGTGTGTGAACGTTAGTGACTGATGTGTGTGGTAGCTGCTGTCACCAGTGTATGAATGGGTGAATAATGACATGTAGGGTGAAAGAGCCTTGAGTGGTCGTTATTCAAGTAAGAATGTGGTTTAGAGATCTGGCAACGCAGGTGAGGTAAACAACGAATTAAAAAACCCCACTTAACATTCAAAATATAGCCTACTTTCATTGCCCCCCCCCCCGGCCCCCTGCTAATGACTGAACTCTGTGAATACGGCATGTTTTAAGATGCAAAAGTGTGCGTTGTCTCTATTTTAGTTCTTCACATTTTAGTAAAGAGAAAACAAAAGGTTTGCCCAAAGTGCTTCGCTTGCAATCTTGCCCTCCGGGTGTTTTCCTCGCCCATCACCATTTGCATTATATATGAGGTCCAACCGTGTAGGCCCATGTTCAACCCTTTTGCTGACGCCGGTCAGACTGGGGAACGTCTCCCCACCCGTTTTCAATCCACTAGCTGGTAGAAGAAAGGACAGCGCTCCATTATCTGTGTAAATCCAGAAGAACTGTGGGCAGAAACGTGGCTTGGGACTAATGATGAACTCCATGGTAGTATAGAAGTGCACCCTCATGTCCTTGGCAGGTCGAACTGATTCAGCTGCCTTGGGAAGTACTTCCTCTGCTGAGCAGTCTTTGTGATGCCGCTGATTCCCACTTGGGGTCCTGGGTTTTGGTGGAGCCCATCAAAACAACCATTAGTTTGCACCGGTCACCAGTGCATCTCACATCTTCAGGCAGACTCTTGACTAGACAGGGGTCAGATGACGGTGACGTCGACCACGAACTCCAGGAGCTCGACGGACATGCAGGCTGCTGAGGGGCAGCAGCTTGTGTACAGGCTGATGAGTGGAGGGGAAAGAATGCAGCCTTGAGGGGAAGGATAATAAAATGTATTCAGCTCATTTGCCCAGATTTGTCAGGAACAGTGGGTGAACTCCTTGGAGGGTAACATCTAGGTCAAGCTTTAATTCTCCTGGACAGGTAGTGTAGTAACTGATTCTCCAGCTGAGGTTCCCTAAATGGCTTTTAAGGGTAGAAGGCGTAGAAATGCTTAGAACCCTACAGGTTTTTCCACAGCAAAAGAGAAAGGAATCTTTCTTTCTGTCACAAACGCTCCAGGTCCTCCCTGTTTCTGTTTCCCAGCAGAATGTGTACTACACCAGCTCTCAGCAGCTTCACCTGGGAGTGCTGAGTCCGACCATCGACGATGACGACAACAAATGCCTTGTGGATGTGAACAGCAAACCCAGGCTGCTGGAGTGCAGCTACGCAGCTACCAAGCACATGAAGCTCACCTGGACGTTCACTCAGGTAAAAACCCACAGCAGCTGTACATGCACAAGGCCGTGTTCGCAGTTAAACCCTCTGTTTTCTTTATAACAAACATGGAGTCAAAGAAGGCCACGGATTGAATAGTTAACTTTCCTAGCAGGGCAGCAGAAATGTTGATGTGTAAAAGATTCATTAGAGGAAATTAAAGTTATAAATACAGTAGGTAATATCCCCAGCAGTTTGAACCTTGTCCAATACTCGTTTTCTAATCTGCAAAGGCCTTGCAACATTAGAGTTCCATCTCTAACCGCTCTGCTACAGCTGCAAATGATGCTCCTAAAGAACCCAAACTGCTAAAATCAGTGATAACTACCCTGGAAATTATAAAATATATATATATATTTGATAGAAATACAATTAGACTCCAATCACTCCAATGATTCTGTAGGATATTAGAAACAAATATACGACCCGGTTCATAAAATTAATTAAAATGCATACAGTGTACACCAGAATACAGCTATGATTCTGAAACTGTGTAATCCATAAAGTAATGATAATATTGTAAAACCACTGTGATTTCTGCAACTGTAATAGAATAATACCAATGTAGTTATGATTGTATTTGATGTAATGTAATCAACTGGAATGCATGCATGTAATACTTGCACAACAACTGATATTGACTAAGGGCCATTCAAAATCCGAGGTACGTTGAACTCACCAGAAGACCACTCCCAGAGGTGTGGACACCGACTTTCACACCTTTAAGCATTGGTATAAATACCTGTAGGAACCATTGTTCTGGAGTTTGCTGGTGGAGGCGACAGACGGGCACTAGGGATGGTCAAAGGACTGACCTGAGGCCTGTTGGTGGCTGAGACAAGCGGCTCCTCAGCTGAGATGTTCTTTTTAACACAACACCATCTCCTTTATTAAATACATTTGATCTAACCTTTTGATAACCTCTGTCCGTCCGGCGTTTCTTCATTTTTGAATACAACAATTTGTACAGCCAATATTGCTGATTTGCGTATTTACTTGTTCAAATCGGGGAAAGACACAAACCGAAGCAGTGACAAACTGTGCCTCCTCTCGGATGCACGATCCTTCAAAATCTGGTTTGAGCTTCACATTTTACTCAACTTGAGCATGCGTGAAATTAAAATCTCTGTATGTCACCAATGTAATGTTTGTACACACTTTTATTACATGTTCTTACATCTCACAGTCTGGGTCATGTATTTCACAACATATTATTAACATGTTCATAACATATTAGTCTTGTTGATCGGATATAAAGCCGTGTGTGAGCACTTGTTTGCAAAAAACAAGCAAAATTTCAGAGAACGACTGCAGCGCCCCCTAAAGTTAAATGGACTGTAGCGCTTTTCTAGTCTTCCGACCACTCAAAGCGCTTTAACACTACATGACATCATTCACCCATTCACACCCATTCACACACTGATGACAGGAGAACCGTACACAGTGACACCTGCCATCAGTAACTAACATTCACACACTGTAGTCGCAGCTACAGGAGCAATGTTGGGTTAAGTGTCTTGCCCAAGGACACAACGACATGCGGGTTAGCCGGGTCTGGGATCGAACCGACAACCCTCTGATTGGAGGACGACCGTGCTCCCCACTCACCCACAGTCGCCTCGTTCAAAGTTCAAATATTCTGAAAAAATCAGGGTATGCTCAGGGACTCGATGTGAACATATGCTAGAGATTTGGTGAGGACAATATATCATAAAAGGCATATCCAAGATCACCTGAAACTGGGCAAAAATGTATTTCCCAGGAAGGAGAACTTCCAGCGGACGCTTGAGACATTTTTTATCACCCAAATGCGCAACCCCAAGAATATCTTGTACAGAGTACAGGTACAGAGACAACAAAATGCTTCTCTGCATTTAACCTATCCTACACACTGGAAGCTATGTGCGGAAAGGCACAGGGAGCGGAACAGCGAGTGCACTCTGCATGCTTTTTTAATGAAGTACCGGTACTCAAAATATTCAAAATCGTATTGTTTACCGCAGTACCTTTCTAGTACCGGTACACTGTTCAACATTAACCCAGTGACCAAAGAGACAAAAAACTCAGGTAAAAAGAAGTTTAACATCAGACATTAATACTGTTCACCTGGAACAAGGTTCAATTCGGGTTTGACCCATCGATTACCCTCCCCAACTGCCCTAAGCAGACCTTCATACACTTCATACTATGTCACATGTACTTATCTCAACTAATGTTGTGGAAGTGTTGTCATCGTAGTTAGTAGAAAGCCCAGTGCACCATGTTGTGGACCGCGTTGTCCACTTATCTGAATATTAGAAGACTCTACCTGGCTCCTCCCATCCTTATGTCCAGACGTCCTTGGCAGATCCAATGCCATTGGTGTGCGTGAATTTAGATTCAGATTAGATGCCGATGGGCAGGTTCGCCCTTTGAATGTTGGCCTCTGCAATCAGTGTATGGTTGTGTGTTTACAGACACGTAGGGTAGACAGTATTTAGAAGACCAGGGTGGTGCTATAAATGCAAGTCCACTGACCATAAAGAATAGTGATGTGCCGTTCGTGAACGATCCTTACAAGGACTCGGGAGTAACGCGTCCTCTCAAAGAGAGATTCGTTCATTTCCTCGTTGCCGCGCATTGGGACTGTTGCATAGGCTCAGTCAAGGAAATAGAAATGATTTGTTCATTGATTCGTTCATTTCCCATTTGGGTACTACTGAGCCTATGCAGGTCACGTGAAAAAGGACCCAAAGACTTGTATCCGGCAGATGAACAAATCATTGATCCGACTGGGTTGGCAGAAGAATGAAACATTGAACGAATCGTTCATCTGCCGGGTAGTTTTTGGATCTTTTTTCACATGACCTGCATAGTCTCAGAAGAGGAAACAGAAAGGATTTGTTTGCCTCGTTCACTTTCGCGTGACTCGGTTTAGTGAGATGTGAATGATTCTGTCATGAACCGGGTACCTCACTCTCTTTCCTTTCCACCCTTTCTTGTGATTTGCACACACCTCCCCTTCACTTACACACACACACACACACTTAATTACACCTGCTCATTCATTCCCAGCTGCTTCTCATTCTCTCATCTCATCATCCTCTCTTCCTCACCTGTTCCTGCTTCCTCTAATTAGACGCTCTATTTCTAGTCTGCCTCTTCCCCTTGTTCTCCACCAGAGCATTACCTATGCACCCGACCTACCTGAGCTTGCCGTCCCATATCGCCCGCCGGGCCGGTTCGGTTCGTGCTGAACTATTATTTTCCCGTTGCTAACCTCTGCTTTACCCAGCCTCCTGTTGGACGTGAGCTGCCTGCTTTCTGGTGCTTTCTCCCTCGGCCTGGACCTCGTTCTCGGCTCTCACCGGGATTCCCCGTTGCCGGCCAAACGCCCGCATCTCTTCCTGTTAAGCATTAAGAGCTTTTTTGTTTGTGAGACCACCTTGTGGCTACCTAAGTTCCTTTTTTGCCTCAGCCATCCTGAGTTCATTAAAACAGACTTTACCTTCCCTTGCGTTTGGGTCCTCTCTCCTTCACAACCACAACAGATTCGGCAACGGCGTAACCATGCACTCTTTGGGGGGGTCGTGTACCCAGAACATCCCAATCTGTTCCCCTAATATACAGCAGAAAATATGTAAAATATATGTTGTCCTTTTATGGACCCGGTCAATGGATCGGTCTCCTGGCTCGTTAGTGCGACTCCGTCAGCGTGGGTTTCGCACACCGCTGACGGGCATCTTTCTCTCCAACGTGCGCTCACTGCGCAACAAACTGGACGAACTTCAGCAGCTGGTGAGGAGAGACAGAGACTTTTCTGCATCCTCCGTTTTGTGCTTCGTGGAGACGTGGCTTGGTGGATCGATACGGGACTCCGCGCTCCAGCTGGCGGCCTTCCAGTTGCTCAGAGCGGACCGCGACACGGAGCTCTGCGGCAAGACGAAGGGTGGAGGAATCTGCTTCTACTCAAACACTGTTCTCCTGATCTGGAGTCTTTTACTGTTAACTGTAAACCCTTTTACTCCCCACCTGAGTTCGCTCCATTCATCCTTAGCGGTGTTTACATGCCGCCGCCGTGCAACGTGCACTAGGCACAGCGGACACTCGCTACATGCACAAACTACATGGCTATAAAATGTTGAGCAACACCCCCCTAATAAAGATGGACTCTGTGCATGCGCAAAGGACGACGGGTGGAACACAGAGGGATTTGCGGATAGGAAAGAGGAAGATGAAAAGGAAGACATGAGACCTATTGAAAGGTAGGCTGGGAGAATAAAGAACAGTGGTTTAATTAAAAAGGAAAAAGTCAAGGAGAGGCAGCGACAGAACAAAGTGAAAGAAAAGACAGCGTTTCATGTGAAGTGGGCAGTCAGTATTTGTGAATTATTGATAAGTAGCTCTCTTACATTATGGAACGGAGCTTGACCCGATGGGAGAAAGCATGGAGGGAAAGATGGTGTGGAAAGAGTAATAACAGAGGGGAAGAATTGCCGCTCAGAAATCTGCCTGAGAGCTGGTAGTATTTTCCCATGTAGCGGCTAGTGTTTCCTGATAAATTAATTTTCTTCCATTAGCCATTTATTTTCTTGGTCTACTTGTATTTGTCCCTTAATTGAATCACACCACTTACCCTCATTTCAAAACGATTGCTACTCTGTACAGAACTTAACACAGCAGTAAGGACAAGGCCTCCTCATAGAGCTTCCGGAGTAAGAATGAGTTGCTTTCTGGTGGAATCAAAGGAATTAAGATAAACAGCAACTGTAATTGAACATAATAAACAGTATGAATCCAACCACGTTAAAAACAGCACTGAAAATAACACAAGAATGTTGCAGTCAGGATTTTTATATAGTTTACATGAAATGTTTTCCTTACGCTCCTCACACATTGGAGAGCATTGGAAAATCAATTACAAATTACAAATTTGTCTGCTTTACAGTCTGTACACATACAACATCCTCTGTCCCAAAACCCACCATCGGCACAGGAAAAACTCCCCAAAAAAT